GCAAAACACAAATATAGTCTGTACAAAATACATTTCATTGACACATTTTTGCCTTAGCTCAAGCTAAATTTGAAAAAAAGATATTTAGACGAGGCAGGGAGAGGAAGTGCTTGTACACAATTTGGAAGGATATTTTTAGGGCATGTTCCGTATAAAACAACTGCATTGAATCGGTTCAAATCGGATCAAAAGTGTCTCCTTCAACAGAAGTCTGCCTAGGCAAACGTCTCCAAAACCCCTCTAATTGGTACTCAGCCATATACTGCTCTAGCTCTGGCTGATCTGAGTTGTCTGCTATATGAGGTCCAGTCAGGTTAGCCGCACCAATGGAACTCGGTCTCTGTACATACATCGTAGCCGGCTCTCCGGGAAGTGCATCTGAAAGGCGATCAAGCAAATGATCCGTATCCATGCTCACCAAGCTGCGATTATCTGCGGAGATAACAGTCTCTGCCAGATGCCGTTTGAAGGCCTGCAAGTTGAGCTGGCGCTCCTCAATAGTGTCATTGGTCACCAGGCGGAAGACCTGAACCATACGGCGCTGACCGATGCGATGGGCTCGGTCCATGGCCTGCAAAGCATGTATAATTATTATTTGAATTACATAATTATGATCATAAGAGGAACGAAGGAAACAGTAAGCCATGAGGTCAAAATAATAAAAGTAAAATAAATAATGGACCATCAGAGCAGGCAAATATCGTTTTTAGCACTCCTAATAGTTTTTATAGCTTTAAATTGGTGATAGAAAGGGTTTCCCTATACAGCATCAATCCACTTGACAAAGATTGCCGGGCCACGGACTAAAATAAATCATATAAACAAGAGGAAGTCAATTTTATTGTACAGTTATAACTAATGTAAGAATCATAGTATCCCCTTGGGTTATCCAATATAATTATAACCTTAGTCTTGAAACAAGGTCTACTCTTATACTTCATTTCCGAAGTGAGGCAACGATAAGCCTTGAATTGTACAAAGATTACCAGAGGAAGGCTCGGAGAGTTGTGCTGGCTAAATTAGTTGGTTTACTGTAATACCAATTAAATAAAAACGTGAGATTCACTGAAAAGTAAAGTAAAATTGAGATATTTAAA